TCTTCAACTGCTGTGAAAAGCAATGCTTCAACGTATTTGGAAGGGTTACAAAAAACAAATGCAACTCACACTTTTCAGTTTTTTTATTTGTATGTCCACTTCGTAATGTTAGTCCATCAATAAAATCCCTAAATAACACACTGAGAACTTGAGGCTGTCACATGAGAAAATCCAAAAGGAAAAAGTTCAAGGAGGAAATACATTTACAAGTCGCAACATGTTGCATGTTTACATCACAGTGCTTCTCATGCCGGCTCTTGTGTTTTGAACAAAAATAACTTCACCTTCTCGTTCATTGTCTTTAACCTCTTTAGTTAAGGCGTGCGATGCAATTTTTCCGCTCTATTATCCAAACTTTCAACTTAATTTGACCGGTGAAATAATCAAGCAGAGATCGGCGAGAGAAGGGGACGATGCTACAACTATTCAACCGCTTACTCTCTTAACAGCATGAACTAAACAAGGACTCCACAGAGCCCCTTTTAAAGGAATGAGTGTGTGGTTTTTAATTGCATTTGGCTCAATTTAATTAAGAAATGCTAGAGAATCCCCTATGGTAATTACTGATTAAAAAGCAGGTGAGGCTGACAGGCATAGCCATCAAAAGCTACCAAGCTTGCAATCCAATCTCTGCTTGTCATCCAAGGACACTTAAGACTCATCTGGGTGCAATATTAATTTGAGAACTTGTCTTTAGTTTAGTGTCCTAGCCTCAAGTTAGACCATCGGAGTCCCCCCCCCCCCACTTCCTCTTCTTTAGTTATTTCACCTTGAGAAACACAAGAAAATAACCCTAAGTAGTAGCACTTGCTCTTACATATGTGCACGGGAGAATTGAATTCTCAGAAGAACTGCTTGTAGTCTCTGCTGTGCTTGAGTGGAAATAAATTCCCTTCCTCCAATGCCACTTTGACTGCAATTTTCTTTTCTGCTGCAGTGGCCTGTAGAGAAGCTGCTTCTGTGTTGATAGAGGCCACTGGTACACAGGTAAATTATGAACCCATTTCCTGTGGAAAAATGTGAATGAATAAAACAGTTGTACAGTGTGACGTATATGCGTGTGTTTTTTCTCTCTTATACAGGAAGAAGAGAGGTTTCTTTGTTTGCAGCCCTGATTGCCATACTTCACCGCTTCCTCCTGATTGTCATTGCAGTTTGTGTTGTTTCCTGGGGATTTGGTTCTCTATTGTTCTCTTTGCTGTTATTGAACCAAATGGCTTACTCTTGTCCAACATCTCCATCTAGTGGAAGGGAAAAAAAAAAGAAACACTACACCTGATTTGGTATACTTCCCCCAATCTTTTGCAAATGTGTATTCCTACCTGATCACTGAATAAATATACACCTGATTACAGTTTGTACGCAAGTTATTTGTTTGATGTATTTAAAACATGCCGTATACAAACACAGAGATGACATTGTGCTTTGTAAAAGTAATCACATCCTTTAACCCTTTTCAGATTTTGTCACGTTAAATCCATGACTAGCAAATTAATAGTGAACATATGAAATGGGAAGAAAATGAGAGAAGCTGGAAACTTTGGTCTGCATTTGAAATCAATTCATTTACTCTTATACTCCTAAAATATTATAAAGACATAACCAATTGGCTTAAGAAATTACTTGATTAGTAATTGCCAACTCTTCATATCACCCCGAACACACCATTCACATGATGACAGCAACATCATTTCCTAAACATGATTTCCTAAACATGACTGGAGAGGATGACATTAAACACAGGGAAACATGTTATTGGCTATTGGCTGCAAAACGACTCAACCAGGGCAATGGTTCATCCTCCATCAGGACAAACGTCTTAAGCAAACATCCACGAGTACAGCTGAACAATTTTGGTGAAATCATTTTCATGTGTATGAACTGCCCAGTCAAAAGTCCAGACCTAAATCCAACTGTGAGTAAGACTTGAAAATGTTTGCTCTTAGAAGCTCTGCAGACCAGTTGACTGGTTTTGAGCTATTTTGTACAGGAGACAGAAGTGTAGGTTGGTCCCCCAAAATACTTGCAGCTGTGGTTGCAGCCACACACAAACACAACCCCCACCACTTCCTGTAAAATCCTGGATTACTAACATACTCTGTCTCCATGGTTCCTGATCACAACATCAAATTCTATCATAGAGGAAACTTTGGGAACAATGGTGAGAGCAGTGTATTTCTATGATGTGTTGACACAGAGGAAGAGCAAAGAAATTCACTTATTTATTTGTGCATATATCTGAGAAAACATTTATGATTTTCCTACTCCTAAAGCACAACAGTGTTGCTCTGTCAAATAAAATCCAATTTCACTTTCCTACAGTGTTAGCGTTCTGTCACCACGCATAGTGTTTGGCGTTGCCTAATTTATAGAGTAACATCTGTGGTGTTTGGGTAGGAATTGACCCCTTGATTTCTTCAAGAGAAAAACAACAAGATATTTTTTTTTATTTGTGTAGTGTAATAATACAAATACAAAATGAAGGACATATTAGTACCCAAAGTGGCCTTAGACTGAACATCTATGGAAGAAGCTGCACCCATCTGTCCCAAACATCCCTTAAGGGAGCAAACTTGTCAGACTTTATTTGAGTGTCTGTTTTCAAATCGGAGGGTTCTTGAGATCATTCAAATGGTCTAAAGTGACATTGCTACTCTGAAAATATTTCTACCAGATGATGTGTCCCAGAGGTATTCAGTGGTCTCGATGCTGGATCTGTGTAATCCAGCAAGAAGAAGAACACCAGTATACAGATTCAGGTATTCCTCGTCAAAATCGATCCTTTTGACTTTTTGTCCTTCAAGGTTTGTTATTGCGATTCTAACCTTTTCAGTGGCATTGGCATGACCAAAAAGCATGTCTTGATTTCACAATTCTTCTCACAATGAATCTTGTGTCATTCAGATGACTTTTGCAGTTTCCCTAGTCAGAAGGTAGCTGGGTGTTTTGGCTTTATTTTGTTAATTCCGAGGTTTCTCACAAAGTCAAAAAAAATCTTAATGTTACCAACAAAATTTATGTGGTCAAGTGCTTTTATGCACTTCAAAAAATGATGGTGGAGGTTCATGGTGGTAAGGTGGTGAAATTTAAAGAAGTCCAAGGAGTATGAATACTTTGCAAAAGCTTTTTTTTTGTGTCCGTGGCCTCTGCTGCAGTTGGCATATCGAGAGAGAGAAATTCCATCACCAACAGATAATAAAACACAAGGCCCTTGTAGAAAGAGGGAATCTGGGAACAAATACAAACTATGGGATGTTCTGCTGACCAACCATAATGAGGCAAGGGCTTGTTTCCAGTTTGGATCAGCTTTGTTTTTGCTCACTTGGAAAGGAATCTATCAGTTTTTTTTCTTTTCTGTTTTTTTTTTTTTGTTTTTTTAGGTTGTTTGCAGAAGAAGCAACCTTATGAGGACTGTTTTCATACTGCCCCTGTGACAGACTGCTATGGCCCTGAAAGCACTTTGCTGTTTATGCTTTGCCTTCACAGCACCAAGCTTCTCCCCCAGAGCCAGTAAATTACTCCACAGTACAACAAGCTCACTGTTCTACTCTGCTTAAGGTCTCTTAAATTTGCCTATAGGGAGCAGAGAGAATGATCACAGCTCATTATGACGTTATATTTTAATATCCCTGCAGGCAACAAATTTTTGTTTTCCAGCAAATAGAAATACATGTACAGCACAGGAACACAGTGGTATGTAGCTGTGGCTGGGGGGTTTTAACAGTGCAGGGCAGCTCAGGGTAATTTTTGGGAGTAACTTCAGTGGCACCCCGCCCCCTCCTCTACTTCATTCCTGAGACAAAAACCAAGACAGAACAGATCTTGACTAAGTTGTGCAGAAGAGCCCAGAGTTACACATGTAGAAATGCAGTAGAGCCATTAATTATAAGGTAGTGATTTTTTTTTTCTTTTTCATTAGCTAGGTTTTATATATATTTGGTTATCTTGGCTCAAGCAACAACTGAGTGGGAAACTTTCTTGGAAAGTTTGATTTACTGAGGATCTCACAGTTGCAAGCGGCCGGTGCACGGTAAGCGGATTTTATGGAACAGATTTGTGAAAATTTTAACTGATTCATTTGCATTTAACTTGCAGTCCAATTGATTCTGCTGTAAGCTGACAAGAAAAATTAAAAACACACCTTTTCCTTAACAGCAGCCTTATTTATGAGATGTCCTAGTTTTGAGTTGTTTTTTTGTGGGTTTTTTTTTTTTTCTTAAATCACCAGGTCGCAACTTCCATCCCCCAACTAGAAAAACCTCCTCTGTGTAAATATAACCCTGTCTAACTACTATGAGATATGGGATTCGGTCACAAGTTCACATGGTCGTGTTTGTGTTTCTGTTCGCAATTTCCTGTGTGATTTTAGGTCCAAAACTTATACTTTCTCATATTTTGCAGAACTTTTATGTCAAGCGCAGTAATTTCTCGGCTTTAATGGAGCTTGCCCTCATGCTTACACACCGCAAGTTTAGTTTACTTTCGAAGGTGCTGGGGGAAATCTCTTCTCAGGCAAAGTATCGCGGTAGTAAACGATAACAACAACGCAAACCTGAAAAAGGGGACCACTGTTCACTGTCTGATATTAGGGAGGAAAGGGGTCTAAATTTAAGAGATGGATTCAGGTTCCAGTTTTTTTTTTAGCACAAAGCTGGAGCATGAGCGATGTCAAGAGAAGATTAAACTCGTGAAACAAATTATTTTTTATTGCAGGAGGGTTGGTTAATAGAGGAGCATTACAATAACTTTCGAATTACAGCAAGAGCATGCGGTAATTATTCAAAGAATAAAACAGCTACAGTCTTTGTATTTTTCCTAGCTCGGCTTAATACAATATAATACAGTATACAGTGCAACATTCTATTGCACTGTATAAAAGTTTGTAATTGTGCCCTCTGTCCCCGATAACAATCGTTTAATTCGTTGTGAACATGTCCTAACTTGTTTTTCCGAGCCGCCTTTGTACGCAACATAAATGTGAAGATGCCCACGCCGGTTTTACACCTGGTGCAACGATGGAAACCCGCCACTGCGCAGAGCTGCACATCTCTGAGTGTGTTAAAGCCATACGAAGAAACATGTGCACAGTTTTTCTAAGCAAGCGGAGTAAGTTGTAATGTTGTATGCTAAATAATGACTAGTTATGCCGGTACATCAAGCTTGTTAACGAGAAGCTAATTCGTTTGTCTGTGTTCAGAGGTCTGTATTTCTGGTTACATTTACTTGAGCAAATTTTTTGAAAGAGAGAGAGAGAAAAAAAAACTCTTATGTGAATAGTTTTACTTCCCTATGCTTTTTACTTTTATTTGAGTATTTTGAACTACTCATACTTGAGTAGATTGATTTTGCAGTTAAATAAAAGAGATTGGAAACATTTTTAGATTTCTGCAATGCATTGAGCTAATGTTTATGTGAATTTTAGCATAATTTGAAAAGGTTGCATAAACATATGTATATGTATTTATACTACATTAAAGTTCTGTCTACTGTGCCCCCAAGATAAGCCATTGCCCCCTTGGAGCCGGATCTGGGTACTTTGTATAAATATATATCCTTTATCTCATTAATAAGTGGCACAGTGCTGTAGGATAGTCTTTCTTACATGTTCCATTTGTTTTTGAAGCATAAAGAAATGAGTATTTTTGGTGAGTTTTCTTGCTAATATCATTTTTGATACAGTCAAGTTGTCTTAAAAAGCAGTGCCGGGCATGATGTGATATCTGATTTGAGAACTTTTCTTGGATGTTGGAGACAGATTTGCTATATTTTGGTAATACATTTTTCCGCAAGCTTTAACTTTTTCCATCTAGAGTTCTGACTTCAGGGTCATTCTTGTTTCAGCTAGAAACTCGAGAAGTTCAACTTTCAAGTGCAAAGAGAATGCGTCGTTAGTACTGCAACTCTTTTTTACTTGCAAGTAGAATATGCTATCATCAGGTGTTACGTCTTTCCTAGATCTTAGCTACAACTTCTGAGACTAATTGAGTGTAGCGTAACTTAATTTAAATTCAAAGAACAAGACATAACCATTGCTTGAACAAGCACAATTCAAAACAATTCTAGGTCATGTTTCTTCTACACTATTTAGCTGTTCTTCACTGGGCAGCCCAGCTTGTTGCATAACCACCAGTTGATTGACAGCAGATGTAGACTTGCTGATAGTAGGTCTAACATAATAAGTTGCAAGCAAAAGTTGCATCTGATAGAACTCAAAGAAAATGTGAGTATCAAACTTTAGATTTTCCCTCTTGGAATTTTGACTTTGTGGAAGTCTGATAAAGTGGGTCAGTGGTTAAAGCTGTCTACAGCAACTATTGGTCAGGAAATTGTAAAAAAAAATAAAAAAATCTGCATGATTCAATCCAGTTCTGATGTTCATTGTTTAACTCACACCAGAACAGATTTAGAACATTTTGAAACATATTAAAATCCTGAAATGATTATTCATGCAGGAGCAAAACAAAACACACATCATTTATCCTACTGTTACGATGCCAAAATCCTCAGACTCTCAGTTGGAGTGAGCTACTAGTTATTTTGCTTGAGTTTATTGGAGTGATCCAAATGAACAATGTTCTAATCACATAACTAGTGGCATGTAATCTAATTGTCATTCTCAGTGATAGCTGACTACCAATTAATCAATTAAGATTGAAGAGAAAGAAACCATTAGATGAGTAGATAGAAGAGGTTATTACTTCAGAAACATTTCCAGCAGCCATGTTGGATTTCAAGATTTGGGATGCTGAGAAACATCCCCACTTGAAATTTCAACTTTAGGTGACTTTAAAGTCCAAACCTAAATCCATCAACAAAATATACCAATGGAAAAGATTTATAGTTTTCTTTTTCTTCTTGAATGTTTTTGTGAAGAAAAACAAAAACAAGTGATCTCTTAGGTCAGTACTTGAAAATGTTGGTATTCACAAAGGTCATACTTGTTGTAAAATAGCTTAAAACTGATATGTTAACAAAAGCAATCTGAACCAAACTATCATTTTTTTGTTACCTGCTAAATGACTGTGTAAACTCCAGTTTATTATAATCCACTTCATTTCACTTAAAGTGCTGCTTTATATGTTTTATTTTTTTTTACTGTCTCCCCATTATTTCCTTTTATATAACTCAGAGGGCTAACAAACAAGATTATTGGATTGCCTCTTTTTCGAATAGCTCGCTGTGTGTTTGTTTGATTAAACCTGATTGGCAGTTCTTTGTACTTAATCCTCTTCCCGGGGCTTGAAGCGTTCATTTTTCTCTCTGACTACAGCACGATGTTCACACCCCCGCGTTGGTTGTGCATGAATCCCCAGCAGTGCTCAGGGCCAAGGAGGGAAGCATTGGCTCCGCTTTGATCTCCCCAATGCAAAACGTTTAATTTCATGGCTCAACCGCACGGCTAAGTTATATCTACCTGTGTTGCATTTGTGTTGCCACGACTCGGGACCACACTGGCATAATCGGTCTGAGGAGCAGGCAAAATCACAGTCGGTGTGTGATCTCCTAAAGGAGAGCCTTCTTCGGCTCGTGTGTCCAATTGCAAGAGGTTGTCCGGTTCCTTGTAATCTTAAGGGTGTAAGAGAATCCCAAAGGAATGTTCTAGATAATATATAGATTGAAAAATAGCACCCCCGTTACCCCCCACTCATGGTGATGACCCTGCGAAACCCACTAGCCAAATATCGAGTGCAACTTTACACCTCTCTTTTCGTTGCACCCCTCTGCTGCCAAGAAAATGTTCTGAGATGGAGGGCCAAAAATAGACACTCTTCTCCTACTCAGCCTGGAAAACAAATTATGAAGGCACAGATCCTGCTATGTTGTGTCTACAAAGATGGAGCATTATGTTCCTGTAAGGAATTAAATCATCGAATGGGTGAGGCCTACTCATGTAACTGAGTTTACTTTAGTCTTCATAAGGGTATGATTTTATGTTGTGTAACATTATACTTCTGAGTGACTCAACCCTGAGAATGTCACAAAGATCCAGTGAAAGTCTGTCCAGTCACATTACAGTGGCAGACAACATACCCTTTTAGTCACAAACGTTAATGTAATGGGATGCAATAAGACAACTAAAAGCATTTTATAAGTGTAAAAAACAAAAAAAAACAACAACAACAAAAAAAAACAAGAAAAAGGAGAAGATCCATGGAACCACATTTTGCTGCAGTTACACCCCCAAAGTCAGTTTTGCAGATTTGGGAAAAAAACATTCATTTTCCAAGTCTTGCCACAAATTGTTAATACATCTGGACTTTTACCTACCCATTTTAACATGTGAATATGCATTGATTTAAATCATCCAAGACTATCTCTGCATGTATGTTTAGGGTCAGGCTCCTGTTGGAAAGGTGAAGCCTCTAACAGGTTTTCTTTCAGGACTTGCCTGTACCAGCCGTCTTCCCTGGAGCTTTAAAAAGCTTCCCTTAAGAAAACCCTCACCCACGGCATCATGATGCCACCATCATGTTTCGTTGTAGAGATAGTGTGACCAGGGTGACGTGCAGCGTTGGTGTTCCGTCACACATAACGTTCTGCTCGGAGGTCAAAACAACCAATTTCGGTGTCATCTGACCAGAGCAGCTTGTTATTCAGGGCGCTGCGTCTCGCATTTGGCTTGTGACAAACTGCTAAACAGAACTTCTTATAGATTTCTCTTAACAATGGCTTTCCTCTTCTTTTGAAGGTCAAGTTGGTGTCAAATATTTCTCTAGCAGTTTTCAGCAACTGTGTCGCAATTACATAGTTTTTCTAATATCTTATAACATATCCCTGATTTTATTATTTTATAACATATCCCTGATTTTTTTGCACAGTCATGTCCCTGATCTGCCTGCTGTGTTCCTTGGTCTTTATGATGCTGTTTGACCACTGATGTTAACCTACAAACCACTTAGATCTCAACTGAACAGCTATATTTATACTAAGATTATATTGCCAACAAGTGGACTCTTCTCCCTTATGAAGGCAATTTTATTTGGATTTTATTCAGAGGCATCAGAGCCAGGGGGGATGAAAACTATATGTCCTCTTCCTTCCACTTCCGATTGTGTGCTCCTTTACATTGGTATGAAATTCAAATAAGACAGATGTGAAGTCAGTCATAAACACAACATTCTGTCTTTGGTGAAAACCTAACTTATGAGCAACATGTCATTGCTTAACTTTCTAGAGAATATCAGCTAACTATGCGTAAAAATAAACCTCACCTGACTCCTTAATCCTGACTTGTTCCTCTATTTTCATTCAAACAGGTACGATGGATCTTGTATTTGTGGTGGCGTTCAGCTCTTGGCTGGCTCCTGCACTCGGTGAGAATGAATTTTCTATAATTGCTTTGGCGTTCGGACCCTTACGAACCCAAATGTGCAAGCGTACTGTTTGCCGGCACGTTGCTGTAGTTGTGTTTTAAGTTCCTGATGTGTGTGTATGACAGGGTCAGCGTTTGGCAGGGAGGTGTTTGGTAAGTTTCCTGCATCAGAGTGGCCTCTCCCTGAAACTGCATGGCCTTTACTCCCTCGTCTTGTTTTGTCGGCTGGCTTTTTGTGAACAGCACCATTTGTTTGAATTGCAGTAAATCATTTTTCATCCCTCTTTTCAGTTTGTTTATTTTTTTTTTTTATTTGTCTGGAGAGTTTGCTTTATGCCTGCGGTTTTCTCCCAGAAAAGGGTTTTTGTTTCTGCAGTTTGAATAATCAATCATCCAGTGCTGCCATTGTTACAAATACAAATCTCGGTCTCTGACTTCTTTCCCTCGGCGCTCCACATACCATCAGCGGGGTCTGATGCTAAGCAGATTTGCCTACCCTGATTTTTTGTTGTTGTTGTTGGGCTTTTTTTTTTTTTTTGATTCAGTCTCGTGTCTGACTGCAGGTCACTTTTTAAAGCTTGTCGAGAAGCAAAACATGTTTTTCACCTCAGAGAAAAATACCAACAGTTTACATTTATTTTGTCTAAGAATGAGGTCAGAGGTAATTTCAGGACAACTTCCTCCTCAGTAAACAGGTTGCAGTGTTTTGTTTCTTTTTTTTTTTTTTTTTTTATGAAATGCATGTAAGTCAGTGCAATCTACTCTAATGTAAAAATTTATTTAGGAGCAGATAAATTAATTGTTAAGTTTTGTAGTACACTATATCCAATCGCAATTGTACCCTAGGACTTAGTTTTAATATGATTTACAGTGTCTGATGATATTAGTTATAACAACTTTGCATTAAGTGATGATGTAAAATGTCAGATGGTCTAAACATCTGACATCTCTTCTTCCATCTGGCTCCTGTCTAAATGTTAACGTTCACACAACGTCTGCTTTGTGTCTGACATAAACCTAAGCTGGTTGCTAAGTAACCCTGCATGTTTCCGGTTGGGCCACTAAACTTAAGGTAGGAATTGGGACTTAACAAGTTAAGTTTGCTTTTTGTCAAAATTTCACAGTTTGGGCTCCAGGCAAGTCTTGATTTCCATGAGGAGGCTAGGCAAGAGAGACGTGTACTAGTACAAACAACAGGGCAATAAAACAAAAATATACTTGAGGTAAACCAATGTTATTAGAATTTTACAAATGTTGCTGCATGCTGATCCCCTTTTTTAATGGATGACTGTTTAAAGAGTTGATTGTTTTGTAATAACTTCGATCTCCACACGTAGCTCCTACATGTGCCTTTCTTTGTTTACCAGCTTCCTTTGCCCTGCTGAAGTAAAGCAGGTGCAGCATAACGCTGCCGGCACCATGTTTAGTGGTCGGGGCGGAGTGTTCAGCATTATACAATGTGTTTTAGTTTCCTGCCTTACATAACGTTTGCATTGAGTCAAAATTATTTGTCTCATTTGATCGCGACGCCTTCTTTCACACGTTTGCCTTCTCCCACACTTGAATTGAAGCATCTGCTGGCCTTCTTTGAACAATTGCTGAACCTTCAGCAGTCAAATTGCAGTTACATTTTCTCCTCTTCCATAAAGAGGGCTGGACAGCATAAAGGCCACATTTGTGAGGCGGACGACTAACTGCTGTCACATCCACAGAACGTCTCTGAATTGTGGATTTCTGCATCTCCTCCAGAGTAACCTTTGTCCTACTGGTTGCTTCATTATGCTATAATTGGATATTGTTACTAATTAGATTACCTTTGGAGAAAGTTTGTTGCCCTTCAACATGTCCAGGGGTACCCAAGGGAACAGAACTGCACAACAAAATGTCTTATAGTTAAGATTTATGCTGCACTTTGCATTGATCTGTCTCATAAATTCCTTATAAAACTGTTGAATTTTGTAAAAGAAAGCAACTATTAATTTTACGGGGTGTACCTTGTGAAGCGTACTCAGCTATTGTCACTTTTGCAGTTTGCTGACAGGTACTTGAACCACCACCTGAAACGTTCTTTTCTCTTTTACAGTCTCAGCAGCAGACGACGAGAAAGGTGAGGACAGCTAAAGAGAAAAGCATAAAATAGTAATATTGTTAACAATTTGCTGCCATTTAAGTCAGGAGTGTGAGCAACCGAAGGACTGAAACGACGGCAAATCCGTCGTCTCATAGGAAGAGTCTGAAGTGTGTCACTGGTTACATCTGCCTCTCATTCATTACCTCCCTGTCTTTTGGTCTTTTCTCCTTCCAGACTTCGACAGCGCTTTTCATTACGGTGAGTGCTGAGCACGCAAAGGTTCTCCTTTAAACAGTCGACGCCGCTGCTCAGGAAACATCTGGGAAGTCGAGATGAGTTTTTCCAGAGGTGATGGAAAACTTTCACCTTTTTGCAGCAGAGCCAAAAGAAGCACTTGACATCCTGTCTGCTGATTTTAATAGTAAAACAGCCACAGTGTATACTGCACAAGAAAATCCCAGCTGTTTTAAGTTTTTTTGTGTTTTGACCAAACTGATGGTCCGGTATTTTACGTTCTGTTTATGTTTGAGGTTAGATTAAAAAAAAAAAAGAAAAAATCAGTGAGTTGCATGAGCTACAGTGCCTAAAAGTTGTTTGCATTTTCTTTGTTTTGTTTTTTTTTTTTTTTTTTTTCAATAAGTCTGGGTTTAGAGTCTACTGGAAAGAATATTGGAAATAAATAACACGATTCATCTACAAATGGAAAAATGTTTTGTTTTACAAAAAAATAAAAATAGCTAGCTGTTGATGTCAACAAATAGCAGATGTCGAATAAACTGTAGAATATAATGCCTAGAAATTTTGACCTAAACTAAGATTTTAAACACCTGCATAATTGACTTCGTATTGTTGAATTTTCCAAAAGCTAGACATGGAAGACCAGCTAAAAATACCTCTGCTGATTTGTTTTTATTGAACACAGAGGTCTTTAAAACTATGCAAACCTTTGCTCTCTGTATCTGATGAGCTCCAGACATGTAAAGACAGACAGGTAAAGATTTCTGTTAACTCCTGATAAGCTTGAAGGAATTTCAGTCGAGTCATCAGCTCTTAACACTTTGATTTTTTTTTTTGTCGGCCAGCCATTGGATGTGTTCTCATTATACATTTCTGAATGTCACAGAACCGAGTTCTAAAGATAAATCTGCATGCCTTTTTCAGATATTTTTGTTGTCTTGAAGGCCACCTCACAAACTGAATGTACGAAATGTATTCATGTTCTCACTTTGGTTCTTGTTACTTAGAGGAACACGAAGTCTTTTTGCAGTTTTAACATGCCGCATTGTGGAGCTAATCTTCTACTTTGTTGTTATTCTTTGTTACGCAACGGAGTTATTGCAAGCATGCAAAGTGTTTCTTAGTTGCGGCTAAGCATCTGAGAATGTTCTTATCCTTGTCCCTCCTCTCCTCAATCTTTTAAGAGCATCAAATCCCTCGGCAGTTTGTCATCCCCGCTGTAAGATAACCACAGGAGAGTCCCGAGATAAATGCAAGATATTTACAGCTTTCTTTTGGGTTTTTCCTTCGTTTCCCCTGCGACATACAGGAGCGAGATGATGCTTGTTTTTTAAAGGTCACAAACCAAACATGTTCAAAATCACTGAGTAGATAAAAAAAAAAAAAAAAATCAGTTTAAATACCTTATTTCTTTTTACACTTTGATTATTTTCCGAGTTCAGTTTTATTGGCCACTGTAATCTGACCTGGGATCAGAAAATGTTTTAATTTTCCAAAGCTTGCCTTGCACATTCCTGAGCAGAAGTTATCCACTGCAAAAACACAAAATCTTAGGTCACTTTAAATAAGACAAAACTAACCTACAAGTAAGTTGTAATATGTACAAGCTTGTTTTAAGTCAGTATTTATTCAGATATATTTTTTTAAACTTGCTTTGAGAAGAATATTTTTTTTACAGTGTTTTTACTATCGGTTGCTTTGCATGCGTGGGAAAGTTTTTCTGTTCTTCTTCCAGAGAACTGTTGCAAAACAAACTAAACGAGATTGCAAATGTTTTTAAAGTCAAGACTTGACACCAACCTTGAAATTTGTTTACAGATCTGCTGTCTGCAGCTTTTCTGATTTTTTTTTTTTTTTGGCATCCCATCAAAACCATTATGAGATAGCAAATTATCTCTGCAGTACTTTTTAATTAAAATTTCATTCGGAAGCCTCAGAAAATACCTCAAGATATCAATTTTTTTATGTCCTAAGGAGAAAAACGTCTGGATGTCTCCTTTCAGCTTTGCAGGCATCTCCCCAACAATTTTATTTGATTTATTTATTTATTTTTTTTATTTCAGATTATGAATCTCTGAGAATCGGCGGCCTGGTTTTTGCTATCGCTCTGTTCCTGCTGGGCATTTTCCTCGTCGCCAGTAAGTATACAAGTTTGCGACAGATGTAAGACGTCAAGCTGAAATTATGCTACAAAGCACGCAGACTCCTTTTCCGGGGCTCAGAGATTCACGCACACTTCTTGGAAAGTGTGCGTTGGAAAGTATCAGTCAGTCGCAGCATTTCGGCCATCATAGCTCGTCCTTCTCTTTTACTCATGGCGTCGTCTCAAAATTCCTCCTCCAACCTGCCAGCTCATCCTGCTGCTTCTGCCAGTTAAAGATGTGAAACCATAACTAAGCAATAAATAATTGAGTGAGACTCAACCTCTCTGCAGCACGTCCTCTGTGTGTTTACAGGGACTAAAGTGAGTTTCAGACATTTCTTACAGAAAGCCGGCTTATGGAAACTTTCGGAAGGTAGAATAAAATTTCAGTATCTACAGATGCCTATGAAACATCAAATACTAATTTAATCTGCCTTTAAATGTTAATCAAGACCAATATATCTTTATGCTCATATCTTTTTTTTTGGTAGTATTATAAGCTTCAATGAGATTTACATATGTGTAACAGCTCAATGGAAGAAATAATGCAATGTTTATGCCTTGTTTATCGGTAAACGGATGCTACTTTAATCTTATTCCTGACTCAAAATAGCTGTTTAAGATTCGTCTGTCAGGGTGCTAAAGCTTGATTTATTTTCTATATAATTTCCTGTTAAATTGAAGAAAGTCTGTTTGATCTCGTTTTTATTTAAAGAGCTTTTTAGGCAGTGTGTCATCAGATTACATTACACGAGCCAGGGGCAAGTAAAGGAAGGGAAGCATAAACAGAATTAAAAGATGCACTCATCAAGGAATATTTACTGTCTAAATATTTAAATTGAACAAAAACAAATGGCAGTTTGAATCATATAAGGGAAAATTAAAAATTTCCCTCTTCATTTCCCATTTGCTTGCAGCAGTGGTGGTTCTTGCTGAAAGTTTGGGTTTCAGCAAGAATCCAAACTATTCATGTGAGCAAACAGGTTCACATGGATAGAACATTGCACTCCAACCAAAAATGTCAGTAACATTCTTCTGGTATGAGTTTTGGCTGTGCTTTTGGCAACTCCTCATATCAGAATTGATATAATTTATTTAAATGAGTTGGTTTCCAGGAGTAGAAGTCAGGGGATATTCTAAAATAATAATAATTTAAAAGAATACAGTGAGAAAGCATAAAGCTGGAATGCATCCCTCACTTGCTGCCCAGAACATCCTGAGTTGTTTTATTCGTAATTGTATCCAGTTCTTTTCATCAACGGTGGTGCAATGTCAAATTTTCATAACAGCACTCTAAATTTAAATGTTATATTGAATATTTAATAATCTATCCATTTTTTTTTTTTTTTAAACAGCTCGAAAGTGTACCTGTTCAAAGAGTGACAAGCCAAGGTGAATTACACAAAATAAGTCAAAGATGTGCTTTTGTTTTTATATTAGAAAGGTACAAATGTACAAATGTTGTTTTTACACAAATACCTATCTGTGTTTCCTTTAGGCCCAGGAATCCAGAAGTTTAATCAGCTAACCAGAAAGGTATATTTAACATTTTATTTAATGTTTACTGTTATGACCTGACATACATGTAACATTACACATAATACTAAACTATTCTGCTGTAATTCATGGCTAGAAACATATATATATATATATATATATATAT